TAGATAAAAATGAGTTAGCCTTTCTTCAAACTAAACATCCTAGGATACCAGTTATATATATCTTACCTAAGATACATAAAAGTTTAGTTAACCCACCCGGCCGACCGATTGTATCTGGGATAGACTCGATTTTATCTGTTTTATCACAATTTATTGATTTTTATTTACAACCGATAGTTAGAACATGCCCTTCGTATCTACAGGATTCTATGAGTCTTTTAAAAATTTTAGAAGAACAATCATGGGAGGAGGGACTTTTGCTGATTACCTGTGACGTCACTAGTCTATATACTATAATAGATCACTTAAAGGGAATTGAGGCAGTAATTTTTTTTCTCAAACAGTCCAAAGAATTTTTAGATATTCAAATTGATTTTATTGTTAGAGGAATAGAGATGATTTTAACTAACAATTTTTTTTGGTTTGATGGCGACTTTTATTTACAAACTAGAGGTACAGCCATGGGGACCAGGTTTGCACCCAGTTATGCTAATTTATTTATGTCCTATTGGGAGCACATGTTTATATACCAGAGACATGACTGGAGTGCAAACCTGGTCTCATATAAACGTTATATAGATGATATTTTTATTATCTGGAGAGGGTCTGAAGAGGATTTTAATTTGTTTTTTAATTACTTAAATTCTAACGAATGGGGCATTAATCTTACTAAGAATATAAGCGCCACCACTATAGATTTTTTAGATCTGAATATCTATATTTCAGATAAACGTTTTAAGACTCGTTCTTTTTTCAAACAAGTGGACGTTAATAGTTTTATAGAAACTAGTAGCTGCCACTACGAGCCTTGGCTCCAGAATATCCCCAAGGGCCAGTTTTTAAGACTGAGAAGAAATTGTTCAGACCTCGCAGATTTCACTACCCAGTCGTCAATTTTAAAACAACAATTTTTACAAAAAGGATATAGTAAAGAGAAACTCTTGAATGATATAGATAAAGTAGGCAATCTAGATAGACCCCAATTGTTAAATCATAAAAAGAGAGATCAAACTTTACCAACCAAACAAATTCCGTTGATCTTCGATTTTTGTAGTAATATAGGATCATTAAAGAAGATTATAAACAAAAATTGGAATATTTTGAAACAAGATCAGGACATTCAGGAGTATATTGGTGAAAATCCCAAGTTTATCTTCAGAGGGGCAAAAAATTTCAAACAGATCTTAACCTCAAACTATGTGGAGAAACAGGAAGTGGATAAAAATAATTTTTTAAGTAATTGGTCTAAAACAACTAAAGGTTTTTACCACTGTGGCAACTGCCATGCCTGCAAGAATACGAAATTAGACTCTAAAAAGAAAGATAATTTTACATCACATATAACCAATAATAAATATAATATTAATTCTTTTATTACATGCGAGTCTAAAAACGTTATATATTTATTACAGTGCACTTGTGGTCTACAATACATAGGGAAGACCTCAAGACCCCTTAAAACTAGGTTGTATGAACATGTTAGAAATATAAGGAATGGTTTTGTTAACCACAGTGTGTCAAATCACTTCTTAATTAAACATAACTCAAATCCTAAAGAATTGGAATTCATGGCAATACAGCAAGTCCAAACTCATTGGAGGGGAGGAAATATTATATTTAATTTAAGTAAGAAAGAATCCAATTGGATTTTTGAGTTGCAAACCTTATGTCCTAAAGGACTAAATATAGATTTCGAAATTGGTTCTATTTTGTAAAATGACTACACTTTTAATTAAGTCCAATTGGAAAATTTTTAATTGGTTCTTAACACATTTTGCAAGCATTCTATGTTTGGGCAGTATACACAGTATTATAAATACTTTTAATGTTTTAAAAACTGTCATTTTTTACTATTTTTTATATTTTTTTATATGATGAGATTTTGTTTCTATATATTTGAAAGACAAGTTCTAATTGCTGCTCTTAATCCTTTACTTATGATTCCTGATCTATTTGTGTAATATAATCTTTTATTATTATCTCTCCGTTTTCCCATTTAAAATATGGCCGATTCTTGGACTGATGGTATACTCCACCCCTATTGGGGGATGTGCTAACATCATTAAAAGATCGCTGGATAATCATACAGTAATGACGAAACCGGAAGTGACATAACCGGAAACCGGACAAACCGGAAGTGACGAACACAAGCTGGCCGTGTATGGCGGCCATGTTGGGAAGGTCACAATGAACACTATAGGATTCCACAATTGGCTGACATGTTGGAAGTGGCGGAAAGAGGCTGGAACATCACCTGTATACTACTAAGGGGAGGGACTTATTGTTTATACACCTGTAATTGATTGTTAATTGTTTGCCTTATAAATTGTGAATATCTCCCATTGTAACTTATACCTGCACCTGAGGAAGACCCTCTTTGTTGGGTCGAAACGCGTTGTGCTTTTTATTGTGTTTTATTATAATAAATTTATTTTCTACTTGTACCTGGTTACCTGGTTCCTGATTTACCTGCTTGAGGACTGCAAACACCTCCTGGGGGACCTATACATTGGATCCATGTACATCTGAATGATTCACTCCAGCTATATAGTTTAGAGCAAACTTATAAATGCTCAGTAAATTGTGAGTTTTTCCAAGCTTCTCAATTGAATATTATATGTTTGACATATTACCCTATGTTGGTGTTCTATTTTTACAGAACCTAGGGATGTACCACAAATTTGTGGACTTATAAACTACCTGCGCAATCACCTTCTCCTGTTTTTTCATTTGCATATGTAAGTGTATGTAGTGACTATACACTAAGGTGTTTTTGCTGCATGCTATATTAGTAGCACATTTTTCTATTAGCGCCACCCTTTCTCCTTTTCTATTCTTACACACCTAGTTTAATCACAAAATTGAAACAATTAAATCTGAGAAAGGGCACTACAGTATTGATCACCATGGATGTAGGTAGCCTCTATACTGTAATTCCACATAACCAAGGCGTAGAGGCTATGAGAACAGTCCTTACGACATCCTCTTTTTACAAAGGACCACCTATAGAATTTGTACTAGAACTCCTCTCCCTCGTGCTCAACAATAACTATTTTAGGTTTGAAGAGCAGTGGTATCTTCAGACCTCAGGCACGTCCATGGGGGCGGCTATGGCCCCCATGTATGCCAATGCCTTTATGTACATATACGAACGGCAATGGATTTTATCGAAATTTGGGCAATACATTCAAGGTTACTTTAGATACATCGATGATGTATTGATTCTTTGGAGTGGCAGTGTTATGGAGGCTATGGAAATGGTGCAATTTCTCAATCAAGCAGAGAGCCCTATCAGGTTGTGGAAGTAGACAAAAATATTACCAGGTTCAATAAAAAGCGTTTAATTGACCATTACAATACACAGAGATATCTCATGGAGATTGGCAAGAAGCAATCTAACATCATGTTACAATTCCTCATATTTTATACATATGACCCGGAACTGGCCTTTCGTTTAGCTTGAATCAGAACTCCAAATATGGTCTTATTTCCTATTGGCTAAATTCTAGCATAACTGACAAATTTAAGGTTCAAAAGTTTAAGCATCCCATGATCTTTCTAACAGATGACTTGACCACAGTCATGCGTCTTACTTCGCTAAAATATCGCTTGTCTATGATAAAAGTTAACACATATAAGACTTCCTCTTTCACAACTTAAGCACACATTTCACCTTTCCCCCCCTGGCAACATCTGACAAGACACGCTTTCAAAATAACCTTTCCTTTTGCAATCCAAAAAACAGTCCAGACATCCATTAATAAATTGTAGCAATAAAACATAGTTTCTTCTTATTTCTTAGAGTAAATATTCTTCTTTGATTATATTTTAAGATGATGAATAAACAGCAAAATGGCTGACAGCATGTCAGTAGCAGGTTACATATGTTCACGGCAAATATTAGTCCGGCCTCCGTCAAGTTTTTAGATTTGGAGATAGCCATCAATGAAGAGGGACTGGCCTACCACCTCTATCAAAAACCCATGGACCGTAACACCATCTTACATAATACAAGTGCACACCCTATGGCACTGAAGAGATCTCTACCTAAGGCCCAATTTCTGAGAGTTATACGTAACAACTCAGATGAGAATATAATGGAGAGACAATTGGAGGAGATGATGGTAAAATTTCTTGAACGTGGCTACAAACGAGATGATCTAGTTAGGGCAAAATTAGAGGCAAAGTCTGCCTGCTCAACTAAAGCTAAAAGTGAAGCCCAAAGGATGGTTTTCCCTGCAACTTTTAATGATGCATCCCCAATGATATCTAAAATTGTTAAGGATAATTGGAATATGCTGGCAAGTGACGATACCCTCCCTAAGGTGTTTAAAGAACCCCCTCTTATGTGCTACAGTAGAAATAAGAACTTAAGGGACCTGTTGGTTCATACGGACCCGACAAGAAGCTACGAAGTAAAGAATACCGAAGCACAAAACCGGGGTAGTATTCGTTGCTTGGGCTGCGTCACCTGTGGCCATATGACACCGTCACGCACCTTTCAGCATCCACACGAGAAAAAGGTTTTCCAGATACGGCACACCATCACTTGCAAGACCCCATATGTGGTGTATAAGCTGTCTTGCCCTTGTGGACTCTCATACATCGGTAAAACTGAGACACCCCTTTGTGAAAGAATTAGGGGACACAGATCGAGCATAAGTGTGGCATATCGTGATGGGACATCTGACCAACCGGTGGCAAAGCACTTCCTCGCTTTTCAACATCCACTTTCAGCCCTCAAATTCCTAGCAATTGACCACATACCACCGTTGAAACGTGGGGGGGATAGAGGCAACCTCCTTTTAAACAGAGAGGCATTTTGGATTTATACCCTGGACACTATAGCCCCGAGAGGTTTGAATGAAATGATTTCGTATCATTCATTTATATAAGTGATTTGTAACAATAACAACAAAAACATTTTCTTTCAGCATCATTGTTTTTAATATTATTGATTTTGTATTTTATTTTTTAGTATTATGTAATTTTAACATTGTTGGGAACATTAGTCTTTATACCTGCTCATAGGCCTTTTTCTCTATAGCCTTAACCCCAGTTACCCAGTTTTACGTAACTTTAAACAATATTGTTCACTTCATCTCCACTGCTATTTTAGCATTTACTTTGGCACTTTGCTTCAACTTTGAAAGCCCTATTTTTTGCACTTTACAATATTATACTTGAAAGCAACTGGCACTTTAAATTTACACTTTAACATATTGTTCACACTTTTGGACCATTTAGATCCCTTTATTGCACGATTTCCACATATCACATTTTAGCACTGTTAGTCCCTTTCAGGGTCTGACTCTATATTCTTATTTCTGGTGCGTTGATTCACATACCATATACGATATATAGATCTATGGCTTTTCTTCTCTTATTATAAAATGGATATCTGACACTTTGAGGAGTTAGATAAATTGAGAATGGATATTTCTAACCCTTTATTGATTGGTTGTTTGATCTAAAAATATACTGTTTATTTTTGCACACATTAGTAAATTTCTTATTATGCGTCTACCGTTTCCAGGTTGCCAGGGTGACGGGACTTGCGAGCGTATCCGTCTCCCATGGCAACGGACGGTACGTGATCACGTGGTGGAAGGGTGGAGTACGCACACACATGCGCACTCGGTATCTGGGGACGCGGGCGATAGTTGATTACAAGTGTACATCTGGGGTAAGCTTATTTTCTAATTATTTTTCCAATTATCTGTCTTGTATTTAAATGCTTTATTGTTGTGTATGTGGTTAGTATTCCTGATGAAAGTCCCGGAGGAGGACTGAAACGTCGAGCCGCTACATTTTAAGGATGTTTAAATAAATTTCTTGATTTTTAACTTCTACTAAAACCGGGAGTGCTGGCCATCTTTTGTTTGTTTATAAATATATATATATATATATATATAGTGATATATACGTATATATTAATATATATATATAAAAAAATGATAATTATTGTAGCGCAGCTGCAATATTAAATCCAAAGATCTCCGCTGGTATAGAAGGTAATCCAAAGTAAAGTGCTGGAAAAGAAGGCAATATCCCAAATCCCCCAGTACCCGGACAAAACACAGTTCAGGGAGTCAACTGACAATTTTATTCACGGCTCCAGGAGTCAACTGATAATTTTATTCACGGCTGTTAGCCTATGCATGCTCTCTATTCTAAAACACACAAATACATTTTTTACACCAGGTTAACACAGCTATTTCAGACAACCTTTAAATGTTCTGCAATATGACCTAAAGTGGCTAGGTTTGACACAATTATATATATATTCAAAATCATTCTACGTGTATTTTGATATTAATATTATATTAATATTAAAATACACTTAGACAGTGTATGTGCATGTATGTCACAAACACTGGTCAAAATTGGCGTTCAAATTAGTTTTTTGCATTTTTCACACACAAACAAATATTAACACAAAATTTTTTTCATAGTTATTCCATTTTGATAAAGCCCTGATGGCGAAACGCGTGAAGGGTTTTATAATATTGTGTATTTTATATAATAAAAGATTTTTTGGCTATATTTTTTTGCCATTATCTTTTTATACACATTTTTATTCTATTTATTTTTTTCCTGGCATTTTACATAACCTATCCTGAGGTGGGGATTATACCACCAACACTATCACCAGAGTGCAGTTAGGCTTGCACTCCACTTGTGAGTATATTTAATTTTATCCACTTTTATATTGTGTCACCAGAGAGCACTATTGGTTGTTTTTATGTTCCTCTTTCCTTGAGAGTTGGACACCATTCCCTTCTGGAGGACAAGCATCTGTATATCCTACAAGCGGGGATTATTCCGCTGTATGCCTATTACACCTGAGCTGGCCATAGCTCATCTAAATGTGAGTGAAAAATGTATATTTTAATTTACCTATATTCATCATATACACTCCGCATGATTGGTCCTCTCTTCTTGTGTCTTCCATATCACGAGACGATCAGAACTACTATAAACAGAGAAGATACTCCACCAGCTGAAATATTGCTTAAGACAATTTTCACTACAGTTCAACCTCAAACATACATTGGGACTACTTTTATATACCTTCTTTTGGCGCAGCCTCTCTTTTCTCTTGTTGTATACCTTTACTGTAGAGGGTTAGAGGGTTACCCTCTGTCAGGCCGCTGCCTATCTACTGTATTATTAGCGCTAACCTACCTTTTGTTTTCTTAACACTAAATTTGGCCAGTGTTTGTGACCAAGCGGCTACTAAAAAAGACTGGACATACCCCATTTGTAATACCTTGGGTTGTCTACTTTTGCAAATGGTATGCCATCATGGGGGTAATTCTCATTCCTGGGCTACCATACGGTCTCAAAGGCAACGTAATCAATCTGGCGAATTTCAATGTGAAAAAACTGAAAACTGTAATGTGCTATATTTGACCATGTAACTTCCCACAACACCATAAAACTTGTACATAGGGATAGTTTTACACGTGAGAGATTGCTGAATACAAATGTTACATACTAGAAAAACAGAATAGATTTCCTGGAAAACCAGGGAAATATATAGGTGGATTGGCGCTATATCTAAAGGTCAAGCGGTGCAACGACTCCCAAGTGCCAAAGAATCACCAAACAGCACTTTAAGCATATATCATTAATAAAAACAAAGAAAAGAAATAGGGAGGTGCAATGAATAAAATAAACCAGTATTATACTTATATCAGGTGGATCTCTGAATCAACCTTATTCTGGCTATCTCCAATGATGTTTGGTAATCAGGTATTTTCTCCCACACCACGGATACAAAACCAGATGGATTTTAAAAAGTTTTTTACTTTCAAAACAACAGTAAAAACAAATGTTACATAGTTACATAGTTACATAGCTGAAAAGAGACTTGCGTCCATCAAGTTCAGCCTACCTCACATTTGTTTTTTGCTGTTGATCCAAAAGAAGGCAAAAAAACCCAGTTTGAAGCACAATTTTGCAACAAGCTAGGAAAAAAATTCCTTCTTGACCCCAGAATGGCAGTCAGATTTATCCTTGGATCAAGCAGTTATTACCCTACATTGAAAGATTATATCCTTGAATATTCTGTTCTTGCAAGTATGCATCTAGTAGCTGTTTGAACATCTGTATGGACTCTGATAAAACCACTTCTTCAGGCAGAGAATTCCACATCCTGATTTTTCTTACAGTAAAAAAACCTTTCCTTTGCCTTAGACGAAATCTTCTTTCTTCCAGTCTAAACGCATGGCCTCGTGTCCTATGTAAAGTCCGGTTTGTGAATAGATTTCCACACAATGGTTTGTATTGGCCCCGAATATATTTGTATAATGTTATCATATCCCCTCTCAGGCGACGTTTTTCTAAACTAAATAGGTTTAAATTTGTTAACCTTTCTTCATAGCCGATATGTTCCATTCCTTTTATTAGTTTTGTAGCCCGCCTCTGCACTTTTTCTAGTGCCATAATATCCTTCTTTAGAACAGGTGCCCAAAATTGCACAACATATTCAATATGGGGTCTTACCAGTGATTTATAAAGAGGCAAAATGATATTCTTGTCCCGAGAATGAATGCCCTTTTTCATGCATGACAATACCTTACTGGCCTTGGCCACTGCTGATTGACATTGCACATTGTTGCATAGTTTGTTGTCTATAACAATTCCCAAGTCCTTTTCATGTGTTGTTATCCCTAATTCGCTTCCATTAAGGGTATACGTTGCTTGTGTATTCTTTACGCCGAAGTGCATAACTTTGCATTTTTCAACATTAAATTTCATCTGCCATTTGAGTGCCCAGTCCCCCAGTCTATCTAAATCCCTCTGCAGCAAAGTAATATCTTGCTCACATTGTATTGTTTTACAAAGTTTTGTGTCATCTGCAAACACTGAAACATGACTTTCAATGCTGTCTTCAAGATCATTTATAAACATGTTAAATAGAAGGGGTCCCAGAACAGACCCCTGAGGGACACCACTTGCCACCTCTGTCCAGCTTGAAAATTTACCATTAATGACAACTCTTTGTACTCTGTTTTTAAGCCAATGTTCTACCCAAGAACAAGCATTTTCATCTAGACCGATTTCCTTGAGTTTGAACACTAATCTATTGTGTGGAACTGTATCAAATGCCTTGGCAAAATCCAAATAGATCACATCCACGGCAACACTCTGATCTATACTTCTACTTACTTCTTCGTAGAACGCAATCAAGTTAGTTTGACATGACCTGTGCTTCATAAAACCATGCTGATTTTTGCTGATAACCATGTTTTTCTCAAGGAATTCTTGAATATTATCCCTTAATAACCTTTCAAATATTTTACCAGCCACAGAAGTTAAGCTCACAGGTCTATAATTTCCAGGCAAGGATTTTGAACCCTTTTTGAATATGGGAACCACATCTGCCTTCCTCCAATCCTCCGGAACACTTCCTGAAAGAAAAGAATCTTGAAAGATTAAAAACAGAGGTTCACTTATTTCTGCACTTAGTTCCTTAAGTACACGTGGATGGATACCGTCAGGCCCTGGAGCTTTGTTTATATTAACTTTCTTTAGTTGCTGCATCACCTTGTCTTGAGTTAACCAATTACAATTATTCTGCAAGTTTTTAGTAGCAATCATTTGCACATCTATTGCCATGGGTTCTTCCTTAATATATACGGAGGAGAAATAGTTATTTAAAATTCCTGCCTTTTCCTGGTCTTCATTAACTAATACCCCCGTTTCAGTTTTTAGTGTACCTACACTTTCATTTTGTTTTGTTTTTAGAATTTATGTACTTAAAAAAATGCTTTGGGGTTGGTTTTGCTCTCTTCAGCTATCATTATTTCATTTTGAAGTTTAGCAAGTCTAATTGCCTTTTTGCACGCATTATTTGTATCCTTATATCTTTTATAAGATGCATCTGATTTGTCCGATTTAAATGCTTTAAATGCCCTTTTCTTAGTTGTAATCTCTTGTTTTACTTCTCTACTAAGCCACATTGGTTTTAATTTGTTTCTTTTATATTTATTTCCCAACGGTACATACTGAGAAATGTACCTTTTTAATATTTGTTGGAAGATGATCCATTTATCCTCAGTGTTCTTTTCACTAAAGAGTTTATGCCAGTCAATATATTGTAAAGCTTTCCTTAACTTATTGAAATTGGCCTTTTTAAAATTATATGTTTTAGTATTCCCCATGTGCTTTTGTTTTTTTGAGTTTATTTCAAAGGACACTATATTGTGATCACTATTTCCCAAGTGCTCACCTACTTGAATGTTGGTCAAAAGATCAACGTTGTTTGTTAAAACCAGGTCCAGACAAGCATCCATTCTAGTTGGTGCTTGTACAAGTTGTGACATGAAGGTGTCATTTAACAAGTTTAAAAACCTAATTCCCTTTGCTGAGGCACTAGTCCCTCTGTCCCAATTTATATCCGGGTAATTAAAATCTCCAATAATTAAAGTGTTACCCAGATTTGCAGCTTTCTCAATTTGCTCAAACAGCTGTTGTTCCTCGCCAATATTAACATTAGGTGGTTTATAACATATCCCAACCAATAGTTGGTTTCCCTTCTTTTCCCCAAGCAGATATTTACCCATAAAGCTTCCACATTATCCTCCTCGCATTCCATTTGCTTAACATTTGGCTTTAAATCATGTTTGACATACAAACATACCCCACCACCCTTCTTGTTTTTCCTATCCTTCCTAAATAACATGTACCCATTTAAGTTAGCTGCCCAGTCATGTGTCTCATCCCACCATGTTTCAGTTATGCCTATTATATCATATTGTTTAGTGTATGCTAATGCCTCTAGTTCCCCCATTTTGTTATTTAGGCTCCTTGCATTAGTAAGCATACATTTAATATTATGCATCACTTGTATATTTTGTGAATTTTCACCATTACACAGCTTCTCTGTTCTGAGCTTGCCCCTCCCCCCGTTTCCACCCCCCTTATACTGTGCTAAAGCCCATCTCCTTTCTGTCCTATCTCCATTTTGTAGATTGCTATGACCCTCCCCCCCTACTACTGGTTTAAAATCTCCTCCAACCTTCTAGCCATCCTATCCCCCAGCACTGCAGACCCTCTCCCGTTTAGGTGCAATCCATCACCACTATAAAGGTTGTACCCAATCGCAAAGTCGGCCCAGTGCTCTAAAACCCCAAAACCCTCCTTCCTGCACCAAGACTTAAGCCACGCATTGACCTCTCTAATCTCCCGCTGCCTTTCCACTGTAGCGCGTGGCACAGGTAATATCTCAGAGAATACCACCTTGGAGGTCCTTTTCTTAAGTTTCCTACCTAATTCCCTGAAATCATTCTTTAGGACCTTCCATCTTCCTCTTACTTTGTCATTGGTACCAACATGGACCATGACCGCTGGGTCATCCCCAGCCCCTCCCAATAATCCATCCACACTGTCTGCAACATGCCGGACCCGAGCACCCGGGAGACAGCAAACTGTCCGGTTGAGCCGATCAGAGCGGCAAATTGCCCTATCTGCTCTCCTAATGATAGAGTCCCCTAACACCACAACCTGTCTTGCCTTCCTTACATTTTGATCCCCACCCGTACTAGGGGGGCTGTTAGCTCGGCTGTTAGAAGTAACAGCTTCCTCTAATACAGCTACTCCTGAGCTGATGCTATCAGGACTAGCTAGCCCTTTCCTCTTCCCTCCCCTCCTGCTTCCTCGCCCCACTGTCACCCAGCTACATGCCTGTTCCCCATCTGTCTTATCTCCTCCATCTCCACTACCTGTCCCCACTAAACTCTGCTCAGTGAGCAGTAGACTCCTCTCAAGATTGTCAATCTCCCTCAAAGTTGCGATTTGCTTCTCGAGATCTCCAATCTGAGCTTCCAGAGAAGCCACTCGCACACAACCATCACAGAGGTATGGACCCTGGACGGGTACATCCAGGCATCCATACATGCAACAAGATGTGCATTGAGTCAAACCAGCAATCTTGCTAACACTCATTTCCCCTTGAAACAGAAAATAAAAACAATTACCTTGTTAGTTTAAACCCCTTGTTAGTTTCAACTCCTGGTTTTCTAACTCCTACTTGAAAGAGTCTACTTAATAGAGGCTGCTTTCAAATAATGTGAGCAAGCTCAGTGAGTTAGGGGTGTGCCTTTATGGGGATACAAATCCCACACAGGTGCAATTAATGAACACTCCCCAAATCAATCAAGCAGCAGCACAAAAAAAGGGGGGGAAACCAGAACACAGAAAAAAAAAAAAATTTAAAAAACAAACACTTTTATTTTTTAAACCTTACCAATTTTAAAGATTAAACAAAAATAAAATACAAACCACTCTCCACAGTATACAAACCACTCTCCACAGTATACAAACCACTCCAAGTAACTCCTGGTTTTCTAACTCCTACTTGAAAGAGTCTACTTAATAGAGGCTGCTTTCAAATAATGTGAACCTTCATATAAAATATGTGTATTTTATGGCAGTAAAAGCAAACAATATTATGACATTCACAGTTAGAATGTCACGTAGAACTAAACATTTTTCTTTTTAAATTCTTATTTTCTCCTATTTTTTATATTTTACTCATATTAAATTATGTTTCATACCTAAATATTTGATGTTAAATGACAACCCTGTTTCTCCTGAATAAAGAGATATATAATATAAAGTGTGGGTGCACATAATATGAAAGAGGCAAATTACGCCTGAACAATTCAAGTTTTTGTTTACATTTTGTTTTAATCACAACGTGTACATTTGGCTCAGTCCCTAAGGGGTTAAAAATAGAGTACAAAGAGTTGTCATTAATGATAAATTTTCAAGATGGACAGAGGTGACAAGTGGTGTCCCTTAGGGTTCTGTTCTGGGACCCCTTCTATTTAACATGTTAATAAATTATCTTGAAAAAAGCATTGAAAGTCATGTTTCAGTGTTTGCAGATGACACAAAACTCTATAAAGTAATACAATGTGAGCAGGATATTACTTTGCTGCAGAGGGATTTAGGTTGGGGGACTGGGCACTCAAATGGCAGATTAAATTTAATGTAGAAAAATGCACTTCAGGGTAAAGAATGCACAAGCAACGTATATCCTTAATGGAAGCGAATTAGGGATAACAACACACGAGAAGGACTTGTGAATTGTTATAGACAACATACTATGCAACAATGTGCAATGTCAATCAGCAGTGGCTAAGGCCAGTAAGGTATTGTCATGCATGAAAAAGGGTATTAATTCTCAGGATGAGAATATAATTTTGCCTCTTTATAAATCAGTGGTAAGACCACATCTTGAATATGCTGTGCAATTTTAGGCACCTGTTCTAAAGAATGATATTACGGCACTAGAAAAAGTGCAGAAGCGGGCTACAAAATTAATAAAAGGGGGACGCCATTTTACAGAGCTCCAGGACCAAAACAAATTAATCAGATAAATATCAATAGACTCTCAACCAATCGAACCATGGTGGAGTGGAAACAAAGTGCATGAGCTCAAGAGGAACACACCCATGCCCTTCACCTACGACTCGAAGGCCAAATCGGCCCGCAAGACCAGGAAGACGCCAAGGCCTCACGACCAGAGGCAGGCCTCGGAATATGCAGAGGCCTTTGCCAATTGGGCCTGGCACTCACCTCCACCCGAAGGTGAGCCGTCCGCAACACCGATGGGCCGCACGAAACCAAAAACACCGGCAGGCCCACAAATGGGGAGAGACATTGGCGAAATGCTCTCCGGTCCAACAAAACCGGCACCCGTGGAACGGACAGTCGA